GTTTGTACTACTGGTCCCGGACAGTCCGGGACATTTAAGAAAATGAGCGGACACGTCCGCATGACAAATTGTTACGCAGACATTGTCCAGGACATGTCCCATGTACAACTCTGCTTATTATATAAAAAACATTGAAAAGCCCAAATTGCCAAAATAGTTCGAGCTTTGAGAAACAGTTTGGGCTAAAAACCTTACTTGATTGTCGGTAAAGTGTTCTGTTGGTAAAGTGACCCAGACCCGTAAATTCATAATAAATATAACTAATGAGTGATAGTGATTGCTATAGATTCAAATTTCATTAATTCGATTCGGAGCCTTATAGAGGTTGGAATCATCCAAAAAAATCCTTAGTCGACTACTAGTTGGTCAAAAATTTCTTTAGTCGACTAAATTTTTTTTAATAATAATAATAATAATAATATATATATTTTTTTTTTAATTTGCAAATTACAAATTCATTTCAAAATACTTCCACACAAAACTATGTGTTACAATTCGTTTTTTTAGATGTCTTCTGGAACCACCGCTTAAATCATTGGAATGAACTATTGGACCTTGTATTGGAAGTGTTTATTCATTCACATGTAAAATTATCATTAACAACATACTAATATTGTCGTCATCATCATATTGATGGTATTGATACTCTTCCGTGTAGAAATTTTCCATTTTGAATGATAAAACACAAAATCGTAATTGGTCAGACAATAATAATATTAGCATAGTATTAGTATTAGTAGTATTAGTAGTCGACTAAATAATTGATTAAAATAGTTGACTATTTAGTCGACTAAGATAGTTGACTATTAGTTGTTCGAAAAAAGTTTAGTCGACTATTTTAGTCGATTCCAACCTCTAGAGCCTTAATTGATACTATTAATATATAAAATAAAAAATAAAAATAATGTATATACAATGATTTATTTCTTTGACAAATTATAGAGTGTCAATTTCAGGTCTAAAGTGAAATATAATATGTTAATATTAATATTATTCATGTAATAAATATACCAAAATGAGTTGCAATGAATTAATTACCTTTTATATTCTTTATTAGATGAAACAGTTTCAGATTCTTTTTGAATTGTTTCATTATCTTCATATTCAATTGTTAGTATTGTAATACTGATGAACTTTATCCTGAAAATATTCAATTGTTAGAAAAATGCATGATATATTAAATTATTTGATAAGTGACAGGAGGGTAGAGTTTCTTCGTTAGGTATTTTTATATTATATCTGTTTGCAATTATTTATTTGTTTATTGATGATTATTTATTAATTTATTGATTATTTTAGTTTTAAATAATACTACGGTAACTTGCTTGGTTATTAGAATAAAGAGAGTGACTATAAGCAACCAATACAGTTTGTGGTTTATTTCTTGATAAAGAAGTTAAATCTTTCGATTCTAATACTGCCATTCCTTCGTTTAAGTCATCATATTTATAAACACTACTTTGATTATTAAAGCTTCAAATTACTTCACTGTAGAAATGATGACCTGCTGTCAATATATATTATATAGGGATGTTATTTTCCTCATAACAAAGTTGAAAAGTGAAGTCCATTTAATGAGATGAATTATAATTTTAACCATCTCTTTGAGTTATTTCAAATATTAAGATATGTGGCCAAAAGATTATATATTCTTCATACTAATTAATCGATTCTTTTATGTATACATGGGATGGTAATTACCTGATTACCATACATACGTAATTCTTAATTATTATTATTGTAATTAATTACCAATTTCCCTCTTTGAAAACGTAATTACGAAATTATTACAGACGACGAAACTAATTACAAGCAACGAAACTAATTACGGACGACGGAATTAATTACGAATAACAACGAATTAATTATTGGAAATATCATAATACATAATAAATGCTGTTTGAAATCAAGAAACTGAAATTTTTCTATAAAACCCATTGTTAACACTACAATGTCAACCCTTTGCTTTATCCAAAGCAAATTAACAAAACCTCAGAGTCCTATACCACTCTGATAACCAAATTGACAATTAAACCCTGCTGTTTAATTCCTGACTACAAAAGTATTTTTATAAGTGAAACAAAGAATTTATTTATTTATTTATTATGCGAGAAATTATTTTTACAAGTGAATTAAATTAACGATATTTCTGCCTCTACTTATTAGCAAGGCTCTGAAATATTGATTAATTAATCTGATGTTTTTTTTTCATTTAGTCAAAAGTGACTTATTTTGTAATTATTTTTTATTAAATAAATAAAACGTCCTATCAGAAAGTTCAGCCAATATTATTGCTTCCTTGTGACCTAAAAACTGCTTTTAGTCCTCAAAATATCAGTCAACATGTATTTTTTATATTTAAAGAACATCATAAAATAAATTTTACATTAATCAAAAATGCCTCTTCGTAGAAAAAATGTTTTATTTAAAGTAAAATTACTAATGGAGACAATATCTTTCTTACTTCAAAGACAAAATATTGTTTATGTTTTAAATAAAAATTTAAATTTTTATGTTAGTACTTTATAAAGTGTACAGTCAGACCTTTCCATAAATGCATTCCCCCTTGGGACCAAGGGACAGCATGCATTTATAATTTCATTGTTCACGTGATATACAATGTTTTAAATACAGTAATACTAAAATAATCATCCATTGTAGTTTGTTTATTTGTTTGCTAGCATTTTCTTGCTGTATAAAAATTCATGTACGATTTCAAGACCTTTAATGCTTCCTCAAGGCTTATTGTCATCTTCTCAAAATTGTCAGCAGATACATTCATTTTATTTTATATATTTCTGCAAGTTCTTTCATCTCTGAAACCTCACAGACAATATTTTCTTCAGGGATATTCAAAAATTCATCAACTTGCATTTTATCAAATAGGACGAAAGTTCATTTAGTGACATAAAGTCATGTGATTCAATTGGATTGCAGTCAGGGATATTACCAAATATGGAATTTCTAAATACAGTAATGATAGATGATATAGAACAAAAATGATTGGCTAATTTTATGCCGATCATTTCTTTGAAAAAATAAAATAAATGCTTTTTTATGAAGAAAACTTGGCGAAGGCTTTATTAAATGGTCATATAACCTCCAAAATTATGTATTATGTTTATTTTTAACTACTTTACGAGTCTATCAAAAAATAATCAATAGCTTCAAATTATAATCATAAAATTACCATAAAAACTCAACAACTTTTTTCATAATGGTTAAATATACTGATGAAATGTTTGAGCTATCATTCATCAGGAATCTTGTCATTAAAATTAATAAAATTAATAAATAGTATCATGAAATATATTATAATTATAAATTAATTGTAAACTTTTGGATATAAATAAAGTCTATGCCAAATTTTGTATGCATGTGTGTGTATATATTATATTTACTTCTTTACCTGCTTATCATTCATTCGCTGTTTGTGAGTCAGGTTTACATGGCCACAGTTGACTCTTTGGATATTTGCCAACTATATCTTCAAACAAACATTTTAAATTCTTAGCTAGTTGTCTTGTATTCGCCATCATGGGTATAATTAGAATTAAAGATTACAAAAAAAAAAGCATTAAAAAAAAAAAAAATCGAAAATTCAAGCCAAACTATGGCTCATATTGAGGGAAAAAGCTAATTTGGAAACCTTTTGGATGAAGACGGATTAATAAATTGTATATTCAAGAGAGTATATTAAATAAAATTTTCAATATTATTGGTTTTTGGTATATATTCAAAAAAAACCTTTGAATGGCCAATCAAAATTCGAAAATCAATTTCCATTTATGGTATAATCCTAGACGTATTGGAATCCAATCAAAAATTTTTGCTGATGAATTTTTAGTGCATTTATGAAGAGAGTTTTCATATGAGTGGATTGAAAAAATACCGTGCAGTGCAGAGTATGGAGGGTGTGCATTTATGGAGGTCTGATTGTAAATATAAATATAAAATTTGTGAATTTTTAAATTTTCTCCTAGTTGTTTGCAGACCACTCGTTTACCAGGACAAAAATCACTTTACGACAAAAATTAGTAAGGGGTCATAAATATTTGTTTATTATTTAAATAAAATTACTTAATATCTTACAGTTTGCATAATACATTTTCATTAAATTGTTCCAGAGTACACTCGCCATCCTTTATTGTTGCATCAACATCATTATCCTTTTTATCATGCACTAATTGTGTTGACAACAATTTTTCATCATCTTTTACCGTCACATTTTTATTAAATTGTTCCAGAGTACACTCGCCATCCTTTACTGTTGCATCAACAGCATTATCCGTTTTATCATGCACTAATTGTGTTGACAACAATTTTTTATCATCTTTTACTGGATTCGACATTTTATATAGCCTAATTAAATAAGAAAAAGAAGGGGAAGAGTGAGGAGAAGGAGGAGAAGGAGAAGGAGAAGGAGGAAAGAACAATATTATTAGTTGTTTATTTAAAATATTGCAAGGTAAAAGATTTTTACTTTATTAGATCAAAAATCCGTTAGAATAAAAATGGAGACAAAGTAAAAAAACAAGAGGTATTTATTTAGATCGGTTTTGTTTGTTTGCTTCTTAACGTTATAATTTTAATTCCTGTTCTCCTATCGTTTTCGACTGATTGGTTTAAGTTTGTTTGTGGTGACAATTACTTTTAAATAATAATTATTATGCATCATTATTTCTTGATAAAAACAAACAAATAAATTTGTCAGTATATTTCTTAACACTGAAAAAATGAATTACTGTAATACCATCCAAAATGAAAAAAACTTTGCTCTAGACGATATTGGAAAAGCCAAATAAATGCATTCGAAATTCAAAACCAATATTTAGGTTTGCGAACAGGTGGCTCTAATAATGTATTATTAAAAAATCGATTTCCCGCATTGTGTGCGATCATGATTTTTAACAAACTATAATATTAAAAAAAAACCTGTTGTATGACGTTATTGAATGCAATTGGTTGCATTGTCTTTCGTTTACTAGGGCTGAGTGCGTAACCCTAATTTAGACACTTGTCTAAATTAGTTTAAGTGTTAGCTCAATGGTTGTTATTTTTGGATAAACAACCCCAGATATTTGGAAAAGGGAGTCATCTATTTTTCGATTATGTACTTTTTTGTGACCACCCATCTGATTGTTTTGATATTAAAATTTCTCGTTTCAACGGGTTTGCATGATGTTAATATTGATATACTGATACTAATACATGTTTACAATTTCCCAAACTTAAAAAAAATAAATACGCATTGCTATAATTATTAATTAATTCGGATTTCTAAAATCCACTAATAATTCTAAAAAGTAACCTTACTATTGTTTTAATTGAAGATTATTCAAGTCTCTTCTAAATATATAAATAAGGCGAAATTTTCTTTATAAAAAATGTCTTGACGATTATCTTTTTCTTTTTTCCAAAAAACTTGTGTATATTACTGCTGAACAAAAACGCGAATTATGTTTATTTGTTGAATTAGCACAAGCAAAATTAGTGATATATTGAAAGAGTCTAAATAGATGGCTTGAAATTGATTCAAATTCTTATTAAAAAAGCACATACTTCTCCTGTTGCAGAAAGCGCTTGAATGTAATGTATAGCAATTACAGGTAATGTTATTCAACAAAAGGTGTAGAGTTATTGGGTAACAACAATATTTTTAAAGCATCATCTGATTGGCTTGATAAATTCATATTCGATTAAAGAATGTAATAAATATGGGGAATCTCAAAGTGAATCCATCTATTGAACAGATTCCCGAAATGAGAGAAGAATCGAAAGATGTTCTTAAATAAAAAAAGAGTAACAATATTATTAACTTGTAATGCAACTGGTACTAAAAAGTTACCTCCTTTATTATTATTCATAAATATGAAACTTAATAAAGATACATTGCCAGTTGATTATTATTGAAGGTTTCTATATGGAATAATTACTTTAAAAAATTAGACAATAAAATGCACACTGCACCAACACATATTTTAATGGATAATTTAAAGTAAAAACACAACTTGCAACCATTCTTTTATTAAAATATTTATTGCAAGGAAGATTAACCAAATGGTTTAGATCCAAAAAAAAATTTTTTTTGATATTAGAAAGGCAATAAATTTTGTCTTAGAAGCCTGGAAAAATGTTACATCCGTCACCATTAATGATTGCTAGTATTATTGTTCCTTTAGAATATGAAGAACAACTTGGAGATTCAACAACATTAATACAAAATATTATAAATGATCAAAGAGACAATGTTAATAATTTAATTGATTGATCAAATTTCAGTTCAGCATTAACAGCATTAACAGTAAAGGAATATATATCAATTGATAATGATGGGATTAGTGAAATTCCAATCAAAGAGGAATATGTTATTGTATAAATGAAGCTGTAAAAGTTTGAAACTACTTTTAATTTTTTTGAACAAAATAATGTAACAAATTAACAGTTTATATATATCATTAAAAAGAAAATTCAATATTACTAGTTTTTTTCAAATAAATAATTGACTATTACCATTTAATTTTTATTGTATTAGTTTTATATCAAATATTTATTATAATTAAAATCAAGTATAAATAAACGACCAATTTATCAAGCTGGTATATACTTTTTCGATTCTATCTAAAATTTCAATATTTTCTGGACGAAACAAGCCAGAATATTTCTCTTCGTCTTCTCTTCATTTTTTTGTGTCATATATACAAAAATCATGACCTCAAAAATAAATGAGGGTGCGAAGGATGCATGCTAAACAAATATGTATATGTTAATATTAATATATAGATAGACCCGAAAAATAACTTTGTATGCATTCTGATTGGGATACTGCTGATCGTAATACTTTATTCTATGTGGTAGTAACTAATTGCACAAGCAAAGAAACGCTTTATAAACAACTTCTAAAATTAGTTTTTCAATAGCTACTAATTGTTAAATTTTATTATTCATTAGCTTTGTTATTCGTTTAATTTAAATGAAATTAATTAATAAAATAATGCGACAATAATCTTTTTCACAGATGCAGTAAAAATAAATAGATATATATACTAAAAATAAATCAGTAGATTGCCATCGTGAAAAGAACTTTATTATTATCATTATTATCATTATTGAGGTTATTCCATTCAGATATCCAGATATTTGTCAACTATTGTAATCATTATTCAATCGTTCAAATAATTTTGATATCAGTATATTTGGCTTGTTCTCCAATTTGATATAAAATAAAATTTTACTTTGTGAAATTAAAAAAAAAACAAAAAAATGCCTTACATAATAAGTGAAGGCTGTTGTTTTATTGTATCTGAAACACAAAATTACCTTTTCAACAAAATAAGATAATCAATAACAAATTGTAATTCGTTAAACTTTTAATATTCGTTGAAATATTTTTTTTTTATTTTTGGCAAACACAAAACTAGCAGGTACAATGTTGTGACTCGAAACTCTTAGGTTTAAGTTTAGGGTCACACACACAATACAGTATTTAAAATGCGGATATCCATAAAAATTAGCAACCGGATGTAACCCTAATTTAAAGGCGATTATCCAATAAATTTTGTGCATTCCCAATTTTACTATAAAAGAAGACAAAATGTCAAAGACCAAAGAAAATAAATTCATACAAAATTACGACAAATTTTAAAAATCGACTATTTGTGTGCTATCGAAATTTAAAAAAAGACAAATAGGCGAGGTTGACCATGGAACGAATTTTGTAAAAACAACAAAAACACTCAATTTGATTAGTTGTCGTACCAATGCTGTCACTTGTAAATTTTAATTGCACGGGTAAACTCTAATATGTCAGACATTTATATTGAGTTTACCTGTGTATGATCGATATTGCATCAAAATAATTTAGTATTATTTGATTTGAAGGATAAAAATGTTACTATTACTATGTTAATTATTTGGAATCATCACAAAATTTTGTAGTACAGCTCGGGTCACCTAAACCCGACCACTACAGCAAAAATCTGGCAAAAATTTCAATTTTTTTTTTTTACGATGAGGTAATGTCGCATAATTTTATTTATCGGGCAAACAACACTATTAAGCTATTTTTAGTTGCTTTGTTATTTTAGGTACAAAATGACGTCAATATGATTGATATATTAAATCATATAATTAAACTTTAATAAACAGTGACGTTTGAAAGAATAGCTTAATAGTGATTGCCCGATAACATCGAT